TGCACAGTCATTCACTTTACAATATATTCTGCAAGGATTATTATTATTATTTCAATCATCCAAACCTGGCTTTCAATTGGCTGTAAAACAGGATGACAAAGAATGTACAGCAAAGAAACAGGTCACCCAGCCCACTCAGTCCATGTTATTGTTTATACACCACACAATTCTTCACCCATTCCATCCTCCTTCCCATACATTTCTACTCCTCTGATTCCTCTTGAATTCATTTGTACCAACTGCTTCAGGCAGCGAGTTCCACAATCTCACTACCTTCTGTGTGAAGTAGTTCCTCCTAAATCCTCTTTTAGATCCCTCTAGTCATGAACACATTTAAAAAAAAAATATTTAAAACATTTTTTTCAAAAAAAAAGGTCCGCCCACTTTGAATTTGGAGAATTAGGGTATGTTGGTTATTTTTATAGTTGTCTTAAGATGGATATAGCTGCAGGCTTGATGTCTGAGAACGTGGCCTGATGAAAGCAGAATAGAAAAGAATACTGGGGGAATAGGGTTTAAGGCAATTAGATAACACCTTTTAAAAAAAAGCAATTTGCAACTCAAAATATTTGTCTCTAAATGTTTTTTTTCATCATTACTGACACAAGGATTGTTTTCCATTCTACAGTATTTGAGATAATCCTGACATATTTAGAAAAGGGGAACTGGCAGGAAGCCTTCTTTACTATCCTGCCCCAGAGGAAAGGAGCTGTCCCTGCAGACCAGACCAGCAGTTGTGGGCCTGCATCGAGAAGTGAAGAGCAAAAAGAGCCCGAAGCTAACTCGGACTTTGCTGACTCCACAGAGGATGGAACACGAGTGTCAGGAGCTTTGAAACAGGAAGACACACAGCCTGCTGAACTAGACTGTGAAGAGACCAGTATTAAAAGTAGTGAAGGAAGAGACTGTGAAACGTAGCATGTTTTAATAAATAATAGTTATTTTGAATTTTATTTGCCTACGATCTTCAGTGCAGCTAATCTAATCCAAAAGCAGCACATTTGATTTGAGTTCAAAGCGTTTTACAGAGGTTTAGAGTAATGTCTTTTGGGAATGGTGCAAATAGCTGAAACATGGAAAATACTTTATTTCTTATTAATTTTTTATCATTGCTGGATCCTGCAAAACATTCTGTTACCCATTAATTTCCGCCGAAGTAGATTAACTAAAATGTAAAATGTAAAATTGCAGTCCATTCCAGACTACATTGGCATTTTAGTTGGATTTGGGTGTTGTGATTAGTCTGGCTGCATTGTTTTCAGCAGTATCCCAGCCTTTTTGCTTAATAGCACAAGCAGCTTGACTGTCATTTTGTTTCTGCTGTCTTGATATGAGTTGTATAAATGTTGTACCTGTACCCTGTATATTTATTACAGATCCAAAGACTAATCCAGTATTTCACCAATTATAGGTTCCCAGCTTTGCTATCTGTAAAGAGCAATAACTGCATTTGTTCACATGGACAAAGCAGTAACCCTCTTGCAAAGCATTCCAACTAAATGTTGAAGTTTCAGTAACCTTAATTATATTTTGAAATAAAGAATAAGAAAGCAAACACGTCAGTTCTGATGATTAAGTCTTCAATATATTGTTTGAATTCTGTAGAGTAACCAAGTAAATTGAAATAGTGATGTTTAACAACAACAAATAAGTAAGTAACAATGTGAACAGTGCCAGCACTGATTAGTAGAAAACTACTGGTTTCAAAGAAATTTGTCATTTTTTAATTTGCAGCATACAACAAAATAATGAATAATATATGTACATTAGACTTAAAAAACAACTTGCATTTATATAGCTCCCCCTCAACAATAACAAAGTTGCATTTATATAGTGTCGTGGTGCGCTTCACAGTGGCAGAGTCTGACAACGAGCCAGGTGTAGAAGGAGGGGGGAGGTGACAATAAGCACGATCAAAAAGGAAAGTTTTTTTAGGCGGGACTTGAAGATGGGGAGGGAGGGGGAAAGGCGGAGGGATTGAGGGACAGAGTTCCAGAGTTTCGGGGTGTAGTGTCAGAAGGCACGGGCAACGATGGTGGAACGGAGGGTCTGAGGGACAAATAGGCCAAAGCCAGTGGAGCCGGGCAAGTTCTGGTATGGGGGTAGCGTCCCAGAGTGCTTGCCAAACCAAATTATTCAACATTTGAAGACTATTTGGAAAAATTAACCAAGTTTATTGTTGCAGGACATCATTAAGGCCACCCCTAGGTGTCTGGAACTCCCTATATAGAAATAAAAAAATTTAAACAGCAAGAATTCAAGTAAAAGGAATAAAGAAAGCTCATTTTTCTATTGATGGCTGCAAAAGTAGCTGAGGCAACCAACTTGTAACTGTAAAAGTGACTGGACAAGTTCCATATTTGTATATAACACGTGACGCAGCACAGAGAGCGACTGGAAGAGAGGTGGAGTAGGCACCATACATACACTGAGTGATGCCGGGAGATGTCTGACACCCCCCCCACCCCCCACCCCCCCGCTCCCCTATTACGCCCATGAC